GGCCAATCACAATCGAGCCGGCCAAACATGGAGCCAGCTTTCTCCATGTTGTTTGGCCGGCTCGATTGTGATTGGCCGCGAAGCCGGCTTCCCTACCAATCGGGAAGCTCCACGCCGAGTAATGACCCGCCTCCGCTTTCCTAATTGGCCAGGAAGCTAGCCCCATGCTGACTGGCTGGGAAGCTGGCCAAACAGCATCAAGCCGCCTCCTTTCTGATTGGCCAGGAAGCCGGCTTCCCAGGCAATTGGCATAGAGCTGGCCCAACAGCCGCCTTCTTGCTGATTGGCTGGTAAGCCGGCTTCCTGGCCAATCGGGGGGACATGTCATTACTCGCCACCCTGCTTCCTGATTGGACGGAAAGCCGGCTTCCCTACCAATCACAATTCAATTGGCTGGGAAGCCGGGCGGGATGTCATCACCCGCCGCCCGGCTTTCTGATTGCCCGGGAAGGCGGCCCCATGCCAGCAGAAGCGCCGAACTTGGTATCGGCGAGTACCGAAAGCAAAATATCGATACCGAAAACACTGGTAACGGTGCTTCCCTAGTTATCAGCTCTGCGCACAGGCAGCAGACAGGACAGCTCCTATTGGGGCCTAACAGCCTGACACGTTTGTTCTGACCGGGAGAGAATACAGCCGAGTAGCAGCACACACAGCCATCCCTGCCAGGTGATGGAGATACTCCCATTTCCGGCTCGTTCACCATTTCATGTCTCTTCCAGCCGGATTCGGAGGTCTGGCCGGACTGGGCAACCTAGGGATGGGTTCCTCCAACTTCATGGAGCTCCAGCAGCAGATGCAGCGCCAGCTGATGTCCAACCCGGAGATGCTGGCCCAGATCATGGAGAACCCGCTGGTGCACAATATGATCTCCAACCCGGACCTCATGAGGCAGATGATCATGGCCAACCCTCAGATGCAGCAACTGATGGAGAGGAACCCGGAGATCAGCCACATGCTGAACAACCCCGAGCTCATGAGACAGGTCAGTGACTTCTGTACTACTCAACCACGCCCACCTTCTGTGTCCTACCAAACTGAGCTCCTCTGTATGAGATCTGTACTACTCAACCACGCCCCCCTTCTGTGTCCTACCAAACTGAGCTCCTCTGTATGAGATCTGTACTACTCAACCACGCCCCCCTTCTGTGTCCTACCAAACTGAGCTCCTCTGTATGAGATCTGTACTACTCAACCACGCCCCCCTTCTGTGTCCTACCAAACTGAGCTCCTCTGTATGAGATCTGTACTACTCAACCACGCCCCCCTTCTGTGTCCTACCAAACTGAGCTCCTCTGTATGAGATCTGTACTACTCAACCACGCCCCCCTTCTGTGTCCTACCAAACTGAGCTCCTCTGTATGAGATCTGTACTACTCAACCACGCCCCCCTTCTGTGTCCTACCAAACTGAGCTCCTCTGTATGAGATCTGTACTACTCAACCACGCCCCCCTTCTGTGTCCTACCAAACTGAGCTCCTCTGTATGAGATCTGTACTACTCAACCACGCCCCCCTTCTGTGTCCTACCAAACTGAGCTCCTCTGTATGAGATCTGTACTACTCAACCACGCCCCCCTTCTGTGTCCTACCAAACTGAGCTCCTCTGTATGAGATCTGTACTACTCAACCACGCCCCCCTTCTGTGTCCTACCAAACTGAGCTCCTCTGTATGAGATCTGTACTACTCAACCACGCCCCCCTTCTGTGTCCTACCAAACTGAGCTCCTCTGTATGAGATCTGTACTACTCAACCACGCCCCCCTTCTGTGTCCTACCAAACTGAGCTCCTCTGTATGAGATCTGTACTACTCAACCACGCCCCCCTTCTGTGTCCTACCAAACTGAGCTCCTCTGTATGAGATCTGTACTACTCAACCACGCCCCCCTTCTGTGTCCTACCAAACTGAGCTCCTCTGTATGAGATCTGTACTACTCAACCACGCCCCCCTTCTGTGTCCTACCAAACTGAGCTCCTCTGTATGAGATCTGTACTACTCAACCACGCCCCCCTTCTGTGTCCTACCAAACTGAGCTCCTCTGTATGAGATCTGTACTACTCAACCACGCCCCCCTTCTGTGTCCTACCAAACTGAGCTCCTCTGTATGAGATCTGTACTACTCAACTACGCCCACCTTCTGTGTCCTACCTACCTGAGCTCCTCTATATGAGATCCGTACTACTCAACCACACCCACCTTCTCTGTCCTACCTACCTGTGCTCCTCCTACATGAGATCTGTACTACTCAACCACGCCCACCTTCTCTATCCTCCTTACCTGAGCTCCTCCTACATAAGATCCGTTCTACTCAACCACGCCCACCTTGTGTGTCTTACTTACCTGAGCTCTTCCTACATGAGATCTGTACTACTCAACCACGCCCACCTTCTGTGTTCTACTTACCTGAGCTCCTCCTACATGAGATCTGTACTACTCAACCACGCCCACCTTCTGTGTCCTACTTACCTGAGCTCCTCCTACATGAGATCTGTACTACTCAACCACGCCCACCTTCTGTGTCCTACCTACCTGAGCTCCTCTGTATGAGATCTGTACTACTCAACCACGCCCACCTTCTGTGTCCTACTTACCTGAGCTCCTCCTATATGAGCTTTGTACTACTCAACCACGCCCACCTTCTCTGTCCTACTTACCTGAGCTCCTCCTACATGAGATCTGGACTACTCAACCACGCCCACCTTCTCTGTCCTACTTACCTGAGCTCCTCCTGCATGAGATCTGGACTACTCAACCACGCTCACCTTCTGTGTCCTACCTACCTGAGATCCGTTCTACTCAACCACACCCACCTTCCATGTCCTACCTACCTGAGCTCCTCCTACATGAGATCTGTACTACTCAACCACGCCCACCTTCCATGTCCTACCTACCTGAGCTCCTCCTACATGAGATCTGTACTACTCAACCACGCCCACCTTCCATGTCCTACCTACCTGAGCTCCTCCTACATGAGATCTGTACTACTCAACCAAGCCCACCTTCCATGTCCTACCTACCTGAGCTCATCCTACATGAGATCTGTACTACTCAACCACGCCCACCTTCCATGTCCTACCTACCTGAGCTCCTCCTACATAAGATCTGTACTACTCAACCACGCCCACCTTCTCTATTCTCCTTACCTGAGCTCCTCCTACATGAGATCTGTACTGCTCAACCACGCCCACCTTCTGTGTCCTACCTACCTGAGCTCCTCCTACATGAGATCTGTACTACTCAACCACGCCCACCTTCTCTGTCCTACTTACCTGAGCTCCTCTATTTGAGATTTGTACTACTCAACCACGCCCACCTTCTGTGTCCTACTCACCCGAGCTCCTCCTACATGCGCCTTGTCATTAGCCTGAGCACAAGTGCTATGTTGGCCCATGTATATAAAACTCTCGCCATTGCCCCTTATTTCAGACCATGGAGTTGGCACGCAACCCGGCCATGATGCAAGAGATGATGAGGAACCAGGACCGAGCCCTGAGCAACCTGGAGAGCATCCCCGGGGGGTACAACGCCTTACGCCGCATGTACACCGACATACAGGAGCCCATGTTCAGCGCAGCCAGAGAGCAGGTAAAAGCTGGGTGCCGTACCTCCCGTCCACCAGCAGAGGGCGCCGATGGTCTGTTTTTTGATGCATGACGCCGTGTGATGAATGCGTTATGAGGATTTGGGTTCTTACAAACGTCTCATTTATTATAATCCCAGTAACAGGCGACCGCGGAATATTTAGTAGCCGGGAAATGTCACTGAACACCCGAACCCAATGATATGGAGGGGGCGGGGCCCAATACTTTTGGAAATATAGTGTATGATTCCCGCTTAGCAGGTTTTCTACCTGTAGTTACAAACAAGGAAAATAATCCAGCAGGAGGTGTGTGTGTGTGTGTGTGTGTGTGTGTGTTAGAATGGGTCTGATTGGCCCATCCTCATGTGGTCATAGACCCGCAGGAAGGATCTGAGAATCGCAGCGTTTCATTGGGTCGTCCTCTTCTTCCTCCTTCCAGTTTGGTAGTAATCCATTTTCCTCTGCTGGCGGCACTGACGGTTTGGCCTCTCAGCCCCTGCGCACAGAGAACCGCGAGCCTCTCCCCAACCCCTGGAACCCTTCGACAGGCTCTCCTGGTCAGACATCCGGCAATGAGGGGAATGGGAGCTCGAACGCCACTACTACTACGACCTCCACCACCACCAGCCAGTCCAATCCGAGCATTTCCAATCCGTTCGGCATCAGTGGCGCCAGCCTGGGGTCAGGTACGATCTGTTTTGTTGGTTTGTGACTATTTTTTTGGGCTGTAATTCAGGTTTTATACATAGATGAGGGATGTAGAAGGGAGCCGCCAGAGGATTTCTATTACTGACCATCCAGTCCTGAGATCTACACAGCTCTGGTGCACAGCCCAGTCCGGCAGGGCCAGAGACCTATTTTGTTTCACTGGAGTTCAGGAACACTTGCCGGTCCCATCCCTCCCCAGCTTGTGATTGGACAGTGAGAGAGAAGCAGCAGACTGATGAGCTCATCTCTGACACTTTGCTCTCTCTTGCTATCAGCATGTTACAAGATAGCACATGAGCACTGCAGTACACCTGATTGGGTCCTTGTGCTGCTTTTCAGTCTGAGCTCTGCTGTACTGGGTCTGCAAGAAGCAGGTAGCTGGACAAATATTGGTACTTACGTGGCTTGTAAAAAATATATTGAGTAATTGGGCGAGTACTCTACCAAATGCTCCGATACCGGAACTTCCGGTCAGAGGGAGATCTCCCTCTGACCGGCAGTGCTGAGGGAGCATGTAGCCAGCTTCCTTTCCAATCAGGAAGCCAGTCGGCGGGTAATGACCCGCCTCTCCGCTTCCTGATTGGTCAGGAAGCCAGGCTGCCCAGGAACAAGTGAAGCTGGCTTCTTAGCCAATCAGGAAGCCTGGAGGTGAGTCATGATGTGCCGCCCGGCTTCCTGAATGGATAGGAAGCCAGGTTGCCTAGGAAGAAGTGAAGCCGGCTTCCCAGCCAATCCAGGAGGCGGGTCATGACATGACGCTCAGCTTCCTGATTGGTTAGGCAGCCAGCTTTACTTGTGTTCTAGGCAGCCTGGCTTCCTGATTGGTCAGGAAGACAGGCTGCCTCGGCAAATGAAGCCGGTGTTTTTTCACTAGAACACCGGCTTCACAGGCAATCGAGAAGCTGGGCGACGGGTCATGATCTGCCGCGGCCTGGGAAAGCGCTGTCGGGGCATCGCGGCCTGGGAAAGCGCTGTCGGGGCATCGCGGCCTGGGAAAGCGCTGTCGGGGCATCGCGGCCTGGGAAAGCGCTGTCGGGGCATCGCGGCCTGGGAAAGCGCTGTCGGTGATCTGCAGTTCAGATACGTGTATTATGGGTTTGCTGTAAGTGGTGTAGTGCTTCTCGGCATGGAAGGAACCTTGTGGTCTGATAGAAGAATCTTCAGCATTGAGTAACCGGCTCATTTTGTTTTCTGTGTAATTTTTTTATATTTTAATTCTTCCCCTCCCATCAGGAATGTATAACAGTCCGGAAATGCAGGGTCTGTTGCAGCAGATTTCGGAGAACCCGCAGCTGATGCAGAGTATGATCTCAGCCCCCTACATGCGCAGCATGATGCAGACGCTCGCCCAGAATCCAGACTTTGCCGCACAGGTTGGTCGGACGTTCACCGGGATTACCATTGTAGATCTGGAGTTCAGTTTTGAATGTGATGGACTATTCCTATTCTGGGGTCAGGATGGTGGGGGTGGTAATCATGGTACAAGACTTGTACTTGCTTTATATACACATGTATGCCCTTTAATATTTAGCTTCACCCTCCACATAACAGTGCTGCCTATGAGCTGGGACAGCAGAAAGCTGAGACACGCATAGGTTCATACGGGACATAAGGTGGTAACGTCCACATATACATTCTCTCATTCTATACTTGGGTCTTAATAGCTCAGGTTTGTGTTTGGACCACTTTAACGGTCCTGGAACTCGAGTGTCCTGCACAGAGCCCTGACCTCAACTCTACTATACACCTTTGGTATCAACTAGAAGGCTGATTGTGAGCCCGGTCTTCTCATCCTACAACAGGACCTGACTTCACAAATGGGACAAACTCCCACAGACACCCTCCAAAATCTTGTGGCAAGCCTTCCCAGAAGGGTGGGGGCTGTTATATCCCTAATGGGGGGGGGGCAGCTAATCCATGTTAATGTCCATAGTTCTTGAATGGGATGTCCAGCAAACTCTCATAGGGGTAATGGTCAGGTGCCCACCAACGTTGGACCGTATAGCGTTCCCTCAATTAGTATCTTTATAATTAGTTTGTCCTTTTTAAATGTTTTCAGCAGCACTGTTGGCTTATATAATGTTTAGGAGCTGACGTTATTAGAATGCCATCTTTCTGGCTAGAGCATTACTGTCGGTTGCAGCATAAGTAGCCATTTTGATGTGTTTTTCCTCCCCAGATGATTGGTAATAATCCTATTCTAGCTGGTAACCCCCAGCTCCAGGAACAGCTCCGACACCAGCTACCGGTCTTTCTACAGCAGGTAAGCGGCTTGTTGTCTGCACCTTCTTGTTTAGTCTTTCAGAAATGGAGATCGGCCTTCTCTGCAGTCTTGCACAGTTGTCCCGGCTCCCCCCCCTTGTCCTCTGATATCACTGCACGCTGGGAGCTCCTCACAATGTGCATTAGAACCTGCAGCGAGTCAGATAGAGCTCCGCCTCATTTCCTGGCTGTAGGGTGTCGAGCATCATCTAGTTCTTTCCTCCTAATGGGGCCTTGTGCATCTGAAGACCCCAAATATTGTACTAAGGCCAGCATGGGATTTGGCTTGCCAGCGACCTCGTAACACCAAACTACCTGCCCGCTCTTGCATATTGTACACTCCGAAGGTAGAGAGCAGCTTGCAGGGTCATATAGGTGATGAGCAGCAACTTTCAGACCTCTGATCCCTGGCTCTAAAGGTGCATCTGCACCCCCATATTTTACATCTGTTTTACCTGCAACGCCATTAGTTTTTCTTAAAATTGTGCTAAAGATGCGGCAAGCACTCGTAACACACCAACACGTAAAGCTGAATGATCTCAAACTGATCATTTGGGTTCTTTTTAAGTTCACTCCCGACATGTTCTGCTCCTCTTGTTCCCCTGGGGACAAAGTGTATATAGCACTTTGTCCCATTTTAATAGTCTGCAGATGATGAGCTGGGTGTCAGCAGCGTGCTCCCTCCCACCCCCCACCGCTGTTCGTCTACGCTGCTCAGTAGGAGACAAATGCCTAATGAGGTTTCTTTGACGGCATTTGTTTCCGGTTCCGGGCACTTGCCTGAGACCAGCATCATCACCAATCATGCCAGGGGCCAGTGACGTCTCGGCGGGGTGACACTCTGTTACCGCTCCGGGGGGTCACCCAGCCACGGGATGCCCCTGCCAGGGGCTGCCATTGACAGCAGAAGGGCGGGTAGCAATTGAGCAAGTCAGGTGTCCTACGGGGAGCTTCCTTGTATCATCTGCTGGACGAGTGCTGCCAGAGTTGCACAGTAACACCAAAGAGGGCTATAGCGAGCTCTCTGCTCAAGCTGCAAAGTTGGAACGCCCACAAATTGGGCTTCTTGCCAGGGGGGGCAATAACGGCAGCCATGATTTAATGGAGAATCGCACAGCACCGCACTCCATTCACGTCACTGATGTTCTATTAATCCGCAGATGCAGAATCCTGAAGCTCTCTCTGTCATTTCCAACCCCCGAGCCATGCAGGCGCTTCTCCAAATCCAGCAAGGGCTGCAGACTTTACAGACAGAGGCCCCCGGCCTGCTAACCAGGTGAGAGCTATCATGGCGGTGACAGACAATTTGCAGCCTATTCCGTTCCTATGGACATCACGACCATTGTAGTCCAGCCAGCATGGAGGGTCCGTTCCTCCATACAGAC